ATTCGGCTGACGATGAAGATGAAGAGCTTGGCTCCGGCCGTGACAAGCTATTCCGAGGCAAACCCTTACTGCCGAGCTCTAAGCTAGGAATCGAGATGATGAGGGCCGATAGCCACGACAGTATCACTTTTGGGTCCGAGAGTACGCCGGAGCCTGTCACACAAGTTGTGACACCTTCCAAGGAAATCGACATGCCTTCGTACGAGACTTTGCGGTCAGCAGCCACGCGTACGCCCCCGGATAGTGGCATAAGCTCAGAAGACAAGACACTCGGCCCCGGCGTTGACGAGACGCCAAAGCCGCTGCCGACAAACAGAGAGAACGCAGACGAAGAGCCAACGCCAAAATCTTTGGTGGATCGATCTGCGGCACCGGAGAACTAGAGCACAGGAGCGCTCGCATATCTAGCCAAAAGGATGCGGAGACATTTACCAGCCGACAAAGCGAGTTATGTTTAAGGCCGTCTCCAGCAGATATGGAACTTTTTTTTTCTTCTTTTTGTTCAGTTGTTTACCCGACAGCGAGGCGTTTAGCGGGGACAACAGCAACACGCAGACTGCATCATTTCCTTGAGTTGATGGGGACTGGGAAGGATCATGGCGTTTATGGTTTTGCTTTCGCAGGTTCAGCCCGAAGGTCTCCTAAGGGAGGATGCGGGATTGAAGGACTGGGAGGTCTTCTATTCCATTACATGTTTTTGCATTCGTGTGCAGGGCGGATGAGAGGATGCCGCACTGCCCTGCATCCCAACTTTCATTCTTCTGCACAGAATTCTTTGGGCAACTCACTCAACACCGCACACCACTCCCGACTTTATCTCCTTTTTTTCCTTTCTATATTGTTCTGTGTCTACACGATTTAGGCTTTCTCCTACAAACTGCATCTGGTTAACGAGAAGAGATGGACGGGGTCGATATTTCGGACGCGGCGGGGTTCTGTGACAGAAACTTGGCCTTTGCTAGACACGAGAAAAACAAACCGGGCAGACATGCTCGGCAATTGCTTATCGATCTATCATACTTAGCGCCGAGGGGAAGACTCTTGTTTCTCTCTTCTTTTTGCGTCATGGTTTTTGCATTCGGGTCTGACGCAGTGCCGCCGAAAATAGGGGGAGTCACGGCTGACTCAAAACAAAAGCCTCTTTTAAAAAACAAAACAAGACTGAATATAAGTATCATCAAACTGCAATGACGTTGATGGCTACGGCCACGCTTCCGCTCTCACCGAGACTCTAATAAAGTGTACTACTTGTGTGTATGCAACTTTCTGTCTGTTCTGGAGATGACAAAATAAGGTATGATGATGGCCATCCAAAGACACGATCCAAGGAGGCAACCTACGTGCTTTACCTACCTGAGGTACATCATCTCGTTTTTCCCCATCGGCATACTATTCATGGGATGACCCGAACAGTGGCAAGGCGTGGCTGAGCACGTCACGGAGGGGGAGGGGAAGGGAGCTCTCGGACTCTTGGCGGTCGAAGCGACGACGGATTTCACAACTTTTCTTGGGATTCTTGAAGAGACGGAGGACCTTGCCTTTGTGACCTTTGAGACCGTTGGGGAGTGGCAAGGCCTCTTTTTGGCTCGTCTGATGATATTCAAAGTGAGGCAATCATGGGGTCGATAAGGTGCCTCTGAGAAACGAAGGTCCGGCCCGTCATGTGGCGGCGGCGATCTTACTTGGTTTCATGATCATGACAGCTGGGAGAAGGTAGATCACACGCATATGTATATATTGAGGTTGTGTTGAGTTGGATGCTGGGATGTGATTTAATGCTATTGGAATTGATCTTCTCCTTTCTCCGTGGAGATGGTTTGGGCAGTCTATAATAGGAAGACATCACGCTACGAAGCCTAGCTCACTTGCGAAAGAGAGTGGAATAGGCCTCCCCCCTCTTTTGCCTACAAGCTCACGGTCTCCAGGATGAGGGGGTAATGCCTGAACCGGGGATAATTCGCCGGGCGGACGAAGAGCATGCGGAGATAATTATGATTTTTAAGGTGTTCGGGCCAAAGGATTGAGTTTACCGGCGCACTAGATTGGCAGCCGTCCCTTACGTGCATGGTGAGTTGGAGGAGGACTACACTAAGCCTCCTGTACAGGACTCAGTCTAGAGGGCGAGCGATGAGAGCAAAGATGGAGGAGGGTGTATAGCAGCGAATGCAGAGGCAGAGTCAAGCTAGAATGTGGAATCCGGGGGAAGAAGGGATCGATGATGTCGGCGACGATGCGGTGGAGAGCAGTCGGTTCATGCCATCATTGGCTCAAAGTACTGTGTTTGATTTCATCTCAAGTGTGCTTGCTTTAACAGCAAAAGTCTTGTCCTATATCATTCTGATGAAATGCTATTATTTAGAGTTTATGGTGCATGTTTTGAGATGCTTGTAGATTTTCATCCGCTCCTTGATATTTATATCTACTTTGGGGGGGGGGGGGATGTTATGTGTTACTAGGTTGAGAAGCTGAGGTCTCTGACATGGTCCTTGCCAGCGTAGGAGTGAGCATGAAAGAGCATGAGATGAGGGTATGAAGGATTGAGTAAGACCTCGAGAGAAGATGTGAGGACAGGAGGGAGTGAGAATGAGAATGAGAGTGAGGAAGGGAGAGTGAGACGAAGAGTGCAAAGAAGCTTTGCCAATGTACGTGGCGGCCGAGGCTTGTGTGAAAATCGTGTGGACTTGGCACTTGGCGCTTGGCGGTGCGACGTTGACGACGACAGCTGCGGTGCTAGGAACGAGGGGAGACGACGACGTTGCGACTGAGGGAAAAAGAGGAAAACGGGCACGCGAGCACTTCCTCGATGGCGGCTAGCACAGGCTGCAAAGGAAAATTGGCAAAAGGCTTGGCGATGGCTCGGCATGCGGGAAGGACCAAGGGTTAGTGTGGAAGATTCCTCGCATAGTTAGTTAATTTGCCGTACGATGGATGAATTTTTTCAATTTTTCGTCGTCGTGTTTTCGAGGTTCGTCAACGCCGTCAACGCAAGCCCCTTCATGCAGCCACAACGTGCATGGGAGGAGACTAGGCCATGCCGGAAGTGCGGGTTTGCTGGGAGTCAATAGATCTGGCACGTTTTCGTTTTAGGGACGGTGATTGGCTGGATCTGGATGACTTTTGTTTCGGCGGTTCTTGTACTTCCTTTAAGCTCGTCCATGGGCGGCAGGCGGGCAAAAGGTGGCATGCCACGAGTGGAGCCTCACCTCCGTCGAGAAAGAAAAAAAAAAAGGTGCCGTGTGTGGGTAGCAGCGGGGTTATTTTATGGGGAGGACGAGGAGGAATGCTGGCGAGAGATTGGTCCGACGATCCATCCGTCACCTTCTGTTCGGTCGCTTGTTGGTCACTTGTATCTTTTTTCCTTCTTGACAGGAAGGCACGCGGAAGGGGAAGGGGAGGGGAGGAGCGGCCAGGCCAGACCAGACCAGTAGAGCAGCGGCGGAGGACTGGAGTGACAGTCTGCAGTCTGCAGCATCGTGCTCTTTCTCCTCCTTTCCCCTCCGCTCGCCTTGCTGCAGGTTGGGACATGGGGGTGTTGCTCTTTCTGCAGCCGCAATTGGCGGGGCGAGTCAGCAGGACATGGAACACCTGAGCTCTTCTGCTCAACGACAACGACTGCGACTGACTGCATGCGGTTGACCTCGGCCGGGAGAGGGAAACGAAGATAGCTTACGGAGAATCATTGTTTGGGAGAGATTGGGGGGAAAGGGGATCAGTCAGGTCGAGAAGCACAAGGCGGGGGATCCAGGCATGGCAAAGATGGGAGGTTTCTAAAAGAGACTCGGTGGAAGGGGACTGCCTGTCTTGCATGTGTTGGCCCATGGAGACAGATTGTGCCTCGTGGGATTTGGAGTTTGAAAGCTGAAGCCTGAGCTCTATTGCACACACTTACTATTACGCGACTGCCTTACACTGCCTTCACAGCATTCTGGAGTTGAGGCGGAAATGGCAAATGATGGCCAGTGCTTGAAAGTAACATAAAAATAAAAAAGACTGCCCTTCAACGTGTGACTCTCGTTTTGTCTGTGACGGCCACAGTTGCAGTTCAGAGTATTTTGGATTCCTTCCCCCCGCGTGCCCTCGCACATCATCCACAGCACATGGTACGATTTTGGCCGAATTGGCAACGGGAACTGTCAAAGCTGATGGCTGCCAAGAGGTGTACAAAGGTACCTTCCTCTCGTTAGGTATCATGGTAGGTATCCGGAGTCCGTACGGAGCAAGTACATATCGGGTGAGGTGTCGTGTGAGAGAGAGCATCGGCGGTGGCAGGCTGGATCTCGGAGCGGTGGACAAGGGCAAGGTAAGGCAGGCGAGGCAGGATCTTCGGGAGCGACAACCTGGAAAGACCCAACGGGCCTAGCAGCTACTTGCTACCGCAGCTGGCTCGCATTTTACCTGCTTTCTTTCCTCTTCGGCTCTTCCTGTGCTGTACGTACTCCGCAGCCTGTGCGGCTTTGCCTCCAAGGTCCAACCAGGTGACGTAGAGCTAGTGTGCCCCGCCCGTTTTCGGGTTTGACCGCAGCTGGTCCCTGTGTCATTTTTCTGGTCTTCCCTCCAGGCTTTCCAGCTTGGTTTTTTTTATCAATCTTTTTTTTTTTCTTAGCTGGTGCTCACTCAATCCAGCTAGTCCAAAACCAAATAAAGATGGGAAAATAATAAAAACAAACCACACACTCTGGCTCTGAACCCAAAGCTCAAACTCGGCTTGTCTTGCCTTGCACAAATACCTACCCGTACACAATATACACAGACACGCCTCTTCAATGGCCACCCGTGTCGCCTCTTACCTCATCACACTCCTCTTCTGGCCCTGACGCCCTGGGGGTTATGGGTCTTCCCACACTTATTCACCTTGATCACAAGGCGAGGTATCCGTACACCGTAGCCGTACACGGTACAATGAGAAGAAAGTGGAGGGAAGCTGCCATGAGCACGTCCGAGGTCGCGGCGAACTCTGAGAGGAAGCATGAGCAACCCAAAGGGTCCTCGTACATTCACTCACTGCATACCTTCTTGAATGTGACCATGGACGCTGCCGATGCTACGAAAAGTCAACATCTTCCCAGGTACTCACTCATACGCAGTGTACCAAGGTCATAGCAGATGCCTCCCGACACGGGACATTCCTCTTCATTCTCCATGCCATCCCATCCCATCCCATCCCATGCTCTGGTCCATGGATCCCAGCCCAACCCCCAGTGGGGTGTAAGTGGGCAGATTGGCCACACCCCACCACAGTTCCAAGCCCGTCTTCCTCTTCCGCCTCTCGATTCTCAAGTCTCTTGAGTCTGCAGTGCTGCACATCGTACCCCTGGCCCGCTGGGGTTTATTCGGTCTGTCCATCCAAATCACCCGGTTGGACGCGCTTACAGCAAGTTTGGCAATTGGCTTTTTCATTACTGTTATCGCTTTGTATCTTGTTCCATCAGGAAGCCCAGTCCCGCAGTCAGAGGCCAGAAGCCGCAGCAGCAGCAAAGCACCCCATCTTTCAATCTCTGACCCTTAGCTCCTCTTTGCCCGTCCGTTACCCAACCTAGGAAAAGATTCGAGACTACCCTGGCGACGCGGTACATGTACTTTGTACACTACCTATAGTATCCGTATACCTGATGGTCGTCGACCTACCCAACTCAAGGGGTCCTTTCGGCACATCAGAGAACCGTTGACCCGCCGGTGAAGCAGCCACGGGATCCAATTCTCGACGGAGACTGGTCCAGAGTCCAAAGACTCGAGCGGCTCCTCGGGGTTCGGCCGATTCCACATCCAGGACATCTTGTCACTGAGGCAAGACATCTGCCCCGACCAAGCCCTCCACCATCCCGGGATCAACTTTGCTTATATCTGCTCCCGTCCCTCTCGGGCCCATCATCGCTGTGCTCTCTTTCTCTCTTCCCGCCGTGGCCATCATCAACCCTCCTCTCCCCCTCCATCCTTTGCCTGCTTTCCTCAAGGTAAAGCAAGGAACCTCTTGCACCAGTGAACCTTGTCCGTGGGTTACCGTCCCATCCCATCAAGGTTTTGCTTTGGTCTCCCCGCAACCCCCCTACGAGACACATCTAAATACCACAGCCACCCGCCCTCTTCACAGCGGCGCGTGAGCTAGTCTCCCTCGTCACTAAACACTTCCTTCTCGCAACCCCAGGAAGTGTCTCGGACACCTCACAGTCTTTATTCACAATGGCGACTCATCACCAACGCCATTCCGCCCCCATTGGCGTGATTCCCGTGCCTCACGGTCCCGAAACGGGCCAGGAGCATGAGGATTACCCCCGGGAACACACCACGGCGCATGAGCGCGAGATCTTCGGTCACGTCACGCGTCCCGACGATTCATACACCACCGACGGTGTCTACTGGGCCGATTTGCCCTGGTGGAAGCGCGTCAACTTCGTCAACAAGGTCGATCGCGATGAGGCCGCCAAGGAGCTCAGGGCCACCGGCGAGATGATGAAGAAGGACCCCCTCTCTCCTCTCACCTGGTACTTCCGCAACGCTGTTCTTCCCGGTGCCGGTCTCGGTCTCGAGGGTTACGTTCTGTTCTCCATTGGTAACTTGGAGCCTCTTTTCGCTGCCGTCTGGCCTGAGTGCTGGGGCAAGGGACACGCCGTTTGCACGCAGAACTGGGTCGCCTCTGTCACATATCTCGAGATTGTTGGCATCATGATTGGTCAGGCCGCTGTTGGTGTAAGTTCATGAACCTGCGCCTTTGAAAAAAGAAAAACCAATTCTAACAGAATTTCAGGTCATTGGTGATTGGATTGGCCGTCGTTGGGGTCTCATCCAGGATGCGGCCATCATGTTTGTCGGTCTGCTACTTTTGACCGGCTGCTGGGCCAGCTCTCTCCAAGGCTGGGTCATTTTCTACGCCTGGTCTCTCTTCTTCTACGGTTTCGGTGTTGGAGGTGAATACCCCATCACTGCTACGTCGTCCATGGAGAACTCCGTCACCGCCGGCCGTCTGTCTACTCGCGAAGATCGTCTTCACCGCGGCCGCAAGGTCACCATGGCTTTCCTCATGCAGGGATGGGGTCAGCTCATCAACCAGGTCGTTCTCATCGTCCTTCTCGTCATCTTCAACCGCGGATACGGCAACGGCCCGTACACCCAGTCCGCCGCTCAGTACACTTTCCGCCTCTCTTTCGCTCTCCCCGCCATCGGTACTTTGTGGCTCGTCTACTACCGTACCTGGAAGATGCCGCGCGCAAACCAACAGCTTGCGCTGGCTAAGAAGAAGCAGGGTGTCACCGGCTACGATGTGAACGCTCTGAAATACTGCTTCCAGCATTTTGGTGGTCGCCTTTTGGCTACTGCTGGTACTTGGTTCTGCAATGACGTTTTCTTCTACGGCAACAAGCTTTTCCAGGGCCAGTTCATCTCGGTCATCTCCAGCAACCCCGATTCCCTCCTGACAAAATGGACGTGGAGTCTGATCAACGTCGTCGTCTCCCTTGCCGGTTACTATCTCGCCTCCCTGTTCATCGACAACAAGCTCTACGGCCGTAAGATGATGCAGCAGGTTGGCTTCTTCATGTGCTTCGTCATGTTCGTCATTCCGGCCTTCAACTTCGAATACTACACCAGCCCGGCTGGCGTTCACGCCTTCCAGGCCATGTACTTCCTCAGCTCTTTCTTCAACCAATTCGGACCCAACTCGGTTACCTTCCTCGTCGCCGGTGAGGTTTTCCCTACCCCTATCCGCGCCACCGCCCATGGCTTTTCCGCCTGTATCGGCAAGGCCGGAGCTCTCCTCGCCTCCGTCTTGTACAACTACATCGACACTCAGACCAAGTTCTACGTTGTTCCTTGGTTCGGTCTCGCCGGCATGGTCCTCACCTACTTCTTCCTGCCCGACACCACCGGTCTCGATCTCAAGGAGCAGGAGCGTCGCTGGACGTACATCCGCAGCGGAAAGGAGGCCGAGTACCACGGTGTCGCCGTTCACCCCACCCATCTCAGTGTCTGGGAGCGCCTCCGCGGCGTCGGCAAATACTACGACGCCGAGAAGGACCACAAGGCTCAGATCGAGGACATGCGCAAGGAGTGGGAAGAGAGACAGGCGATGCAGGGCGAGAAGGAGCCCGAGGTCTGGGAAGACCCCGAGCTCTTCTCCGAGGCTATGCACGGCTACTTCAAGGAGCAGCACAAGGGCAAGTCTCAGGGTGGTGTGATGCACGACGCCGATGTGTCCGAGTCCTCGTCGGCACGGGAGAAGGAGGCAGGTGACGAGATCCAGCCCAGCCCAATGCTGGGAGCGAGGCAAGATCGCACTGATCTCGACGAGAAGAGAGGTTAATCGTGCATGAAGTGGTGTTTGCATTATACACATAATGAGGAGTATTAAAAATGGGCTTTGGAGTTTACAACCATGGGCGGACTACTTGCATTGGAACTGGGGCTTTGGGTAGAAGCATACTCAGCATGGCGTATAAGACGCCCGAATATATTCTTAACGTATTATGACTACCATACTTGTTGTCCTTCTTCTTGGTGGCTTTTGTTTTGATACCTGCCGGATTCGATATCTGCTAAACAGCCTTGCTGGACACGTACCGGTGGAATAGGGGATATCCGGTGACCTGGGTAGATGGACATCGGCATCTCGTCCCTTGGGGGTTAAGGAAGCTTAGTATCGAGACTCACAATCTAAGTAAATTGGGGCAAAAGCTTGATTGTCTGCTGGAGTGGGTACCTATATAACACCAAGCCAGCTACGAAGGTTACGCGACGACCTCGGCGATCCCGGCAGACGGCAGACGGCAGGTGTGTGCCGTGCCAGCGTATGGTGCTCAAGTTATGGACCACGTGAAAGGCTGGCAGCGCTCCGAGTCGTTGGCATCATGCATGCAAGCACCTGCATGATGAGAGTGCAAGTTCTCTGCCATGGAGGTGTACTTGAGGCATACCAGTGCGTTCATCCTCGGCGGGCCTTTCTTTTGTTTTCAGAGACCTGAAAGTTTCTTAGTAGTTTGACAACCTTGTCAGAATTCATAGAGAACCTTTTGTAACGGAACAGAACGTATGAAATGAAGGTTAAAGCCTAGTGCTTGGGATAGGTCGGAATGAATGGGGTCTTGGAATTAGCAGGACGTTGGGGATGAGTAAAGTTTGAGATAGGTAGGATGTGGGATGGATATATCTCCCTTTCGACTTCACGATCCTCTGCGAATACGTGACAGGTAGTGGTGAAGAGTTGTGAACGACGAAGTAGCTCTAAGTATCATGCTTAATGACGTTTGTCGATGAGGGGTGTTGATGAATGAAATCATGGAGCAGTCGCGCCGACATCTCATTTGAGCATTTTTGCCCAACATGTATGTTAATGTAGGCATAATGGTGCCGTTGCGGACAGATCGTTATCGAGCATTGAGGATTACTTTATGTCTGCCGTCTTTCTCATTCATGATAGATAGGGCGCGAATCGGTCCTCGATAGAAATAGCACAATTGGAATATTGAAAGAACACAAACATTCTCTGTGGTTCTGCAACTTGACTGGCCATTACGCATTTTTCTTCGTAGCCAGATGTGCGGATTGAATAACTCCAAGACCGCAAAGGCTCACTCACAATGGCTGAAAGCATCATGGATACCATCATCTTAGGGCAAGAGTCCAAAAACCTAGGGATGTTGACCTTGGTAGCTCGGAGCTTTCTACCATTGCTGGCTCTACCTACCAAATCTCAAACTTGTACCTCAGAGCTGCCTCGTCTGCAACGAATTTCGTATGTGTACGGTTCTTTGGGTCTGCTATGGCAGCTCCTGATTCAAACTTTTTCCTACTGATCTCTGGAGACGGGACCGTTATACCAAGATTTCATAAAAGGGACCTCAGGACGGATAGGCAAATGTGTATAGGCTTACTTCTTCGAGTTACACGCGTACAAATTGTTGAGGTCTTGGCCAGCGAGATGACCATCATATCTAAGCATTCTTAAGCCCGATACAGACAAGTTAACTAAATCCTTAGCTGTGGCGGCCCATTTTCTCTCAACATCTTTCTGATATTCTTCGCCGTCATACCAGCCAGCGGATGAGGCTCCATATCCGGATCTTGGTCGGCCTTGACACTAAACTCAGCACCACCGTCCACCGCCGCCGCCTGTGCAGGCAAAACGGGCAGATGCGTATGCGGATCATACACGGCGCCCTTGGGAACAACCTTTGTCTGCACCGTCGCGGACCCTTCTCTGAAGGTACTCTCCGGCGGACCCTGCGTAATCAAGTTCTTCCCAAACACCATCGGCGTCGTCCCAGACGCGATGTCCACCCCCTTGATCGTCCGCTCCTGGATCCTCAGCGCCGCCTCGGGCTGGTTAAAGGCAGAAAGGTGACCCGCGAAGAAGAGCCGCGTGAAGGAGAAATTGTCGGCCTGCTTCACCTCCCCGGGTACCTGCCCGTCCGTGTTGGCAGACATGTTGACGAACCCGGCGCTCGCCCAGTTCGCCGTGCCCAGCTGCGCCGCGACGATCTGTGCACCAATCATGTTGCTGTCGTAGTCGGCGTCGCCGGTGAAGAGGGAGACGGTGATGCCTTGCTGGACGAGGTTCTTGAGCGACTGCGTGACCAGCGCCCCCGTACGGCTGTCGTCGCCCGTGGACCCGAACGCGATAGCGGTCTGCACCGACGCCTGCGTGAAGTTGTTGGACGCCCCAATGGCGGCTTGCACGTCGGCCCTGTTGAGGTAGCTCACGAACGTAGCCGAGGGGTAGGGTTCCGGAAGGAGGAGGCGGATGTCGTTCTCGGCGCGGCCGGCGTTGACGTCCCAAAAGTCTTCCACGTTCTTGACGCAAAAGGCGTCGGCCTCGGCGCAGAGCTTGTCGGTCGGCTGGGCGTTGCAGGCGTTTTGACGGTCCTGGCAGCCGCCCTGGCCAAACATGTTGGTGAAGAGCTGCTTCTGCTGGGTGTCGTTGAAGGGTTTCACGTCGTAGGGGTTACCCGGGGAGACGGAGTAGTTGAAATAGGCGCCGAACTGCACGCGGGTGTCCATGAAGCCGTCCTCGATGGAGATGGACTTGAGGGGCACCTGGACGGTGCCGGGGGCTTTCGCCTTGTTCTGCTGGGTGATGAAGTCGGCGAAGACCGGCACGTAGTGGCCGCCGTACGATTGACCGTTGATGTGTACGCCGTTGGCCGCGTACTGCGGGAAGGCGCCCATGATCCCCTGCATCACCTGGTAAAAGACTTTCGCAGCGTCAGCCGTCGAGTTGGGCGTCAGGGAGACGTCCATGGAGGAGTAGGTCCCGCACATGGGGTCCGCGGATGTGCACTGCTGGGGCACGATCTCGGCCGTCTTTGGGTTGACGGTGCCGTTGACCAGGTTGGTGAAGGAGAAGCCGACGGTCGCGGGCTGGTCGACGAAGAGCAGGTTGCTCACCGTCGACCACGAGTTCGGGTTGTCCACCACTTTGCCCTTGGCGTCGATGGAACAAGGGCCGATCTCAGTGAAGAGGCCGTTCATGGAGGACGCTCCCGGCCCGCCGTCGAGTCTGACGGTTAAGGGAGCTGAGGCGGCATTCTGTCGTGCTTCAAACATGTAAAAATACATGTGCTGCGTTGGGCTGACGTCCACGTAGCCGGCGAAGCTCTTCACGTTAGGGTTCGTCTCGCAGATGCCGTTCGGCACCTCTTTAAATCGGACATTAACGCCTCCGGCCCCCTTGACCGTCTTGAGATCCGTAGGCTGCGCAACGAACTGCGCAGAAGTCAGAGATGAAAAGAAGGCAACGGCGCAAACGAGAGTAGCCCGCATAGTCGTGATGTTTCGCTGCCGCGTCTAGCGGACAGATCTACGTTGGTGGCTACCGTTGGAACAGTATGAACGAGCGGATAGTGTCGATCCAGATCGACCTAGATTAACCAAACGAACGAAGCCTGCGTATACATACGAGTTGTGCCCTCGCTATCGGTAAAGAGCCATACCTTAGTGCCTTTAACGTTCCATCCAGCTGTTTGAAGGAGTGTCTAGTTTCCTCACTGATCACGAAATGGCATCGTCTCAGGGCGTATAAGCGTGGGTAATGCTGGGTCGTCTCCCAAACATGCTAGGTAGGAAAGCTTATTTGTCACTTGGGACACGGACTGTCGAGTTAAAACGCCGTGGATGCCACGGATTTGTTGTCCGTACCACTCAGGGTCCAAGATCAGACAAGGCTCATCCATCTCCAAGTCGGTTGGCTCGGCTAAGAGGGAGCCAGACGCGAGGCAAATTGAAGGTGCTGGCCGTCTCAAATCATGTTGGTGGCTGACAATTGAGCACGGGCAACGTAGTATGACCCGACTTGCTTGAGTTGCCGTATATTGAGGAGAGGAATGAAGATGGCTGTGTAGTGCGTACGAATTCCAGCCTCGGGAAAGCTAGCCACGGGTTTCATGAATCTCTTGTTGTTTTTGAGAGTGATGATAATTGTACAAGTCGCCGTGGCTGGGCCTTGTAAAGGATGAGGCCATTGATGTATCAGTTCAGCCCATGTGAAGGGACGTGCTAAGCATATTCTACAACAACAAAAAGTTGATTACTAGTGAAATACCGAAGACCGGTGGTCAAGTTATATAACCGCATTGAGTTCTTTCAACTGCCAGCTCGTAAGTTATTGCCAAGGAGAACAACAGGCGAACACTTCGACTGATCGCGCGATAAGCTCATGCGTCCCGAAAGCTGAAGGACTGGGATTCCCCTCGGAACTTCCGACTTCCGACATCAGCCGCAAGAGCCAACAAGAAACGCCCGCAAAGTCTCATGTTCCCCATTGATGTGATGATGCTTATATGTCTACCTCGTCTCCACATCGAAAGAACTGCGTGGGTCGTATCGAATTGTAAAGAGTTCCACCTGGCTATGTTTTCTTCAAGCACGACTAACGGCCTCCATGCTTAGTAATACGTGCTACGTGCCTCCTAAACACACACATCACTTAGCGTCGACTGCCGGAGAAGAACTTTATTGATTTGAGCTAACGAAATGATCCGATAGTAAAGAGACTTGGATGTTCCGCTGATCGGACGAAGGAACGCGCGATAGATGAATTAGAACATCGGAATCACGAGGAATGCATTGGACGCTGGCATATGTAATCAAGTCAGTGTCTCTGAGTGGATAGCGGCATCGCCCGTTATAGAAAGTGGGGGAGGGGATTGTGCTTGGAGGGGTTACTCTAGATTAGACGTCCATGGCTTCCGAGAGCTTTCAATGACTTCTCATCTTAGCTCAACTCACTCATCCAATTCATCACCACTACTTCTCATTCACGTAAGCTGATAACCCACTACTCATTGAGTATCAGACTATCATCACTGGACTGGATACATCCAAAAACGCAACCATGTTCACCGGCATCGTCGAAGAAATCGGAGGTCCGGACCCCTCATCTCTCACCCTTGACTCACCCCTCATCACATATCAAACTTGGAATGCCCTCAACTAACATCCCACCCTCAGTCGTCTCCGAGCTCAACCCCAACGACGAGACAGGAGGCACCTCCCTCACAATCACTCTGCCAGAGTCCTCCACCCTCCTCTCAGACTGCCACCTCGGCGACTCAATCGCCATCAACGGCGTCTGCCTCACCGTCACGTCCTTTGAAGCCTCCGGCCCCCCTTCCTTCAAGGTCGGCGTCGCCCCCGAGACCCTGCGCATCACCAACCTCGGGTCCCTGGTCAAGGACTCGCGCGCCAACCTCGAGCGCGCCGTCCGCGCCGACACCCGCATGGGCGGCCACTTCGTCCAGGGCCACGTCGACACCACGGCCACCATCCTGGCCGTCACCCCTGACGGCAACGCCCTCACCTTCCGCTTCGCGCCGCGGGACAAGGCCGTCCTGCGCTACATCATCTACAAGGGCTACGTCGCGCTCGACGGCACGAGCCTGACCGTGACGCAGGTCAATGACGAGGAGGGCTGGTGGGAGGTCATGCTGATCAGCTACACGCAGGAAAAGGTCGTTGTCGCGAGCAAGAAGCCCGGTGACACTGTCAACATTGAGGTGGACATGATGGCAAAGTATGCTGAGAAGAGCCTCGCGGGGTACCTCGGCGGTGCCGGCAGTGCTCCGTTGGAGAGAATGGTTGAGCGGATCGTAGCTCAGGGACTTGGTGGCAGGTCTTAAGGAGAGAGTACATGTGCCGAAAAGAATACGTCATTCCTACTTATCTAACAAGCTTCTTTTATACAGCTACTTCATTCAAGCAGTGGGTTTAAGATGCGTTCATTTGTACAAGCCGCCATGCGACATATACAACTGGGGAACCGGTGCGTGATACCCCCGCGTCCCAACCAGCTTCGATACAAGGGGACAAAAAAACAGTTAATCGGAATCAATCGAGTGACTGTATTCAGGACCAATGACGAAGAAAAAATAAACGAACTCATATAAAATTACAAAAGCTCAAACCCCCTCACGGGGGGCCTACGAAATCCCAGGAGACTCTGACCAGCCTGAGGTATAGTGATGCTAGGATTTTCACGAGACCCGAACTCGTGACATATGGGTGCGCGGCAGTTCAAACGAGGACATTCCCCGCCACGCCATAGGCCTTGGTGAAGGAATAATATCTTTTGTGTTATTATAGAGGGCGAGTGGTGAATGTCAACCCAGATAGGTGGGTGAGTCTATGCATTGTTTCCCGTATTTTCACAACAGGGGTATTCTAACCATCATCAAACATCGCCCCAGACCTCGGCTAGCCGTTGACTGACGGCCTTGGCAATCTTCTTGCGCCCTACAAGATTGGGCAGACCGCTGATAACCATCTCCCGTTTCCTCTTTAGCCCTTGCTCGCCTGAGCCGCACTCCTGAAACGCCTTGATGAAATCGTGTGGTGTCTTCCACCGCTTCTGAATCTCCAAAGCCTTCTCTCCCGTAATGCCCCTAGTCGTCATAAGCATTTTAAGGTAAACATCTCGTAAGGTCATCATGTCCGACTTGGATGCCAACGAGGCAAAGGCCGCGTATGTAATGTAGTAATTCGTCGTAGGCTCTTTCTTCCGAAGGTGTTCTAGCAACGGCAAGTAGTTCTGTGCTGTCAAGGCCGGTGTCGGAATGACCAAAAGAGGCTTGCATTCGTACATCTTCTTGAGCATGAATGTCATCCGCGCAAGGTACCGGATCGTGTCGTCCATCTTCTGGGTCTTCTTCAAAAAGTAGCCATTAACTACTTGTGTAGACGCAGTGGCGGATCGAACCATTTCCTCAATCTTAGAAAAATACGCCGAGTCCAAGGCAATTTCCTCGACTATGTAGACAACGTGTTTGACTCCAGATTTGCGAAGTCGGAATTTCTGCTCATGAAAACGGCCATCCTTGATACTGCTAACAAGGTCGTCTAGTCGCTTGCGCTCAACAATCCAATCCAGCACAACCTCATCTCCCTCTGCGCCAAAGCGGGATAGGGCGTTGGGATCGTGGCATTTGGCGATCCATTGTGCATCACCGACGTCCAGAGCTCGCATTATAGGTTTTACGCCCTTTTTGGTGAGCTCGTCTTGCATGTAGTCGCGATCCTTGACTGCTCGAACTTCGCGGATGTCAAGAGCGAGATGAACGGTAAATGAACCAGGTGCCAGCCGAATCGGGACGAAGTTTGGTAACGATGCCTCATCCGAGACCACTGGTCCATTCGCGACAACGCCTTCGTATTCTGATGTCGTTCTCGGCCGTTCCACTGGCTCGACAGATGGCGAAGCTTCTCTATCTAACGGTATGGAGGTCAGATCAACCCCACTGGCAGGTCCGGCATGCGTACTGGGGCCTGCGGTAGCATGGCCGGCTGCGCTGCTGGCTTCTGCGGTCTTTTTGATGCGTTCAGCAACTTCCCATCCCTCATCGGTAAGAGAGTACCGCCTCTGTGGGCGGCCTTTCTCGCAAACAAGATCCTTTTCGATGAGCGTCTTCATCGAGTTCCATGCCGTGTAGTACTTGCCAGGGTCACTAGGTGCAGAGAAGGATGCGTCGCAGTGTTCCTGAGCCAAGTCTATGAGGCTGGCTTTGGTTATCCCAGATTGTACACCCTTATCCAGTGTGGAGAGTGATAGCAAGAGAGCGTAGGCGCCTGAGCGATATGTTGGAACGTAAGGCTTTACCTTGCGTGCTTTCTTGGGTGGAGGGTGCTCGTCATCATCAGCAGCGCCGCCGAGGGATGTGCGGTCTTCCTTGGACAGCCGCGGATTCTTAGGCATGGGCAGACCGTTTGACTGGCAATGCTCCTTTAGCTTATCAGTCAGACGTGAAGAGAGCTTGTCTCCGAAGCCCTTGAGCTGGGTGAGCTGACGTGGATGCTGAAAGGTGATGGGGCATGCCTTGAGAGACTCATAGGCATTTCGATAGGTGGAGGTGCTCTTCATGTTCCGTTCTCTCGCAGTATCCAGCCACTCCTTGACCCAATCAAGGAGCAGGGGATTGGCGTATTGCTCGTGTTCGCCAGCCATAATGCTGCTGTGATGTTGGAGTTTCCTTGCGGCGTCGGTACGTCAAAGATCATTGCCAAGAACTGGACGACAAAAAGAGCATCTCTGCCGGTGTGTATGCAGCCAGGCTGAGAAATTTGATTTCCAAAACAAACAAATCGCCCCAAGATGCAGTTATCTACCAGGATGCCGAGCGTGCCTTGCCGGCTAGAGAGAGGCGAAGAAGAGGGCGGGAGAGGAAGGAAAGTTGGAGTCGCGACGCGCAGACACGCCAAGCAGTGGCACTTGGCGTATAGTGGTCATCACGAATCCACGTGACAGGCAGTGCCTATACAAAGGATTTCCAATTCTTGCGCCAGGGCCATCAGGCGTTCTGAGGGCTGAGGGGCGCCGATCACCTCCTGTGCAGCTTAGTGAGTGACAACCGCCGATTAAGGTACTTCACTAAGACCATAGCTTCAATTAATATTTTTTTTTTTTTAAAAAAAAAAAAAAAAGGATCAAATCGTGTTTTATCGGGAACATCCTGCGAAGCTTTAGATATCTTCAGAGAGTAAACCAGGCAATATCTATGGCGACGAATAGAAGTCGCCAATATGTCTCGAGCGGCAGTTTAGGTGGTCCGTCACAAAAGTAAGTAGTGCCCCTCATGAACCTAACGCTGAGGAGGGGCAATCCGGGCTGCGACCCCACCCCTTCCTGTTGCGGTGTGCTGCATCCATCCAGCGCCCAGTCTGACTTGCATGATTGCATCACGGGTAATGGCTACGGCGGGGCCTGCCTGTTAATGTCGCTGTTGTTCTCGCATGAGGTAAATGGCGGGGAGCTGAGGTGAGCCTGGCAGAGACGCAGGTAACAGATGAGTGGAGGCAACAGCACACTGGAATGGCGGCCACCGCATCCAGTTTCCTGGTCAGCAAGCACCTTATTGTAAGGTAGGCAACTGGCAAACTACCGCCCTCCATTTCTCTCCACTGTTTCCTCGTAAACATCCCCAGCTCCATTACCTACTACGTTGCCTCTTTATTTCTCTCCTTCATCCACCCTGGCCATCGCTTTCCCAACACGTTGAATCTCTTTTGAAATTGTCTCGTTCACCCATAGCCATTCGCTTGAGTCCACAGCCCGTCATGTCGGACGAAAAGATCATCGCCGCTTCGCAAAAGCACCCCATCGTGCCGAACCACACCTTCAAGTATGGCACTGCGGGGTTCCGGATGAAGGCTGATCTCCTTGACGGTGTCACTTTCCGTGTCGGTCTGCTTTCCGGCCTCCGTAGTCGCAAGCTCAATGGCCAGGCTATTGGTGTCATGATCACAGCTAGCCACAATCCCGCTGCCGATAATGGCGTCAAGATTGTTGACCCCATGGGAGACATGCTTGAGCAGGAGTGGGAGTCGTATGCTACTAAGCTTGTCAACAGCTCCTCGGACCAGGAACTTGTCGACAATTACAAGGCCTTGGCTTCCCAGCTCCGCATCAACCTATCCGATCCTGCCCGCGTCGTTTACGGTCGAGACACCCGCCCTTCGGGCCACAAGCTTGTCGCTGCTCTGGCCGATTCCTTCGAGGCCACCGGCGTTGAGTACACCGACTACAAGATCCTCACCACTCCCCAGCTCCACTACCTCACCCGATGCGTCAACACCGAGGGCACGCCGCAGTCGTATGGCAAGGTCAGCGAGACTGGATACTACGAGAAGTTTGCCGACGCTTTTGTCAAGGCTCTCAAGGGTCGCAAGGTTGACGGCCAGTTGACCATCGACTGCTCCAATGGCGTTGGTGGTCCCAAGTTGACCGAGTTCCTGAAGCACGTCCCCAAGGACGTCACTGGCTTCGACGTCAAGGTTGTGAACGATGATGTTCTTCGCCCCGAGGTCCTCAACCTCGACGTAAGTTGCATTGCATCCGTACCACTCTGTGCCTTAGCTGACTTGTGCAGTGTGGTGCAGACTTCGTCAAGACCAAGCAGCGCGCCCCTGCTTCTCCCAAGCCCATCCCGGGCGCTCGCTACTGCTCCTTTGACGGTGACGCCGACCGCTTGATCTACTACTACACCGACCCGGACACCGGCTTCTTCATGCTCGACGGCGACCGGATATCCACCTTGGCTGCTTCCTTCATTGGCGATCTGGTTCGATCTGCCGGCCTTGAGAAGGACTTGCGCATCGGCGTCGTTCAGACTGCTTATGCCAACGGTGCTAGCACCAACTACATTGAGAAGCATCTCGGATTGCCCGTCGTTTGCACGCCCACTGGCGTTAAGCACTTGCACCATGCTGCTCTCAAATTCGACATCGGTCCCTACTTCGAGGCCAACGGTCACGGCACTGTCATCTTCAGCCAAGATGCTATGCGTGCCTTCAGCGAGACGAAGCCCCAGTCCCCCGCACAGAAGGATGCCCTCGAGACCCTTGCCGCCGTTGGCAACCTCATCAACCAGACCGTTGGTGATGCGCTGTCAGATATGTTGATGGTGGAGGTGATTCTCGCTCACAAGGGCTGGACTCTCAAGGACTGGGCCTCAACCTACTCGGATCTTCCCAATCGCTTGGTCCGTGTTGAGGTTGGTAACAAAGATGCTTTCCAGACCACGGATGCCGAGCGTCGCCTTAGCCATCCTGCGGGAGCTCAGGACGAGATTGATCAGTGTGTTAGAAAGTACACCAGCGCTCGTTCCTTCGCTCGCGCCAGCGGTACCGAGAACGCCTGCCGTGTGTACGCTGAAGCAGCCACTCGCTCCGAGGCTGATGAACTCGCCAACAAGGTCGCGGGTATTGTGAAGCAGTATGGCGGACTGTAGGCAAGTCGCCTATCTGTCAAAGGAGCAACGATGCGCTTTTCACGATAGAGGACAGTTGATGATTGGACTACTTGCCACATTGCTTGGACCAAAATTACGGCGGATTTCGTAAAAGCTAGAGCGGACTGGTTACAAGTTGGAAGCTGCCCAAAGTGATGAAACGAACAGAAAACGAGACATTTGATATCCCTAGTCTTTCCCTACTCAAAAGAAGCGCAGCACATCACCCGTTAGATCTTTATCTTCAAAAACGTGACTGGATTGTAACTGGATTAAGTCACTCACCAGCTTATATTTACCTACAGAAAGACAAAAAGAAGAAAGTAGGAAGCAAAAGACATACAAGCTAGATGGTTGGCTGTGGCCTCATGCATTACCCCCGGGGTCTCCCTGCCCCGGAGTACCCGATTTGAGGATCCAACGTTGATTCTCGCGGCCCGCCCGTTTGGTGTGGCAATCCTCTCCAGCTCGTCGGGATCATCTCAATGCACCACCACCTGAACCGACTTCGCTTTCGCTAACCACCACCACCACCACACCAAGGCCAACCACTGATGAAAGGCCAGCCTATATCATTCATGATGGAGTTGGAAGAGTGCGTTCCATACAAGTCACGCAAAGACGGGTCAAGGTCTGTACGATTCAAGTCGTCAATTCTTCTCTATCATACATAGGCATCCTCGCAACCCTTGACGCTTGCCGTCATCGAACCCTTTTCCATTCTCTCATGGCAAGGCCGCTTTGGTCTTTGTTCTTCTTCCACTGATTTCTCCTCTTCAATAACCACACCCCCCCCCCCCTTTCGATTATTCTGTTTCTTGTTTGTACATTTCTAGCCTCATACCAATTAACCCAAAGAAACCTTGCAAAAGGACATCCAAGAGCAAACAGGGCAAAAGTAGAAGACATGAACTAGATAAACACATTACACAAACACTTCCGTGCTTGAACCGCCCCACTAAGTATATATAATAGAGGTATAGAGAGATGTCTGCAGACTGGCGAGACATATATCATGTGCTGTAGCTTTCGGCCGTCAACGGTGCTTTGTGTAGCACCTCCAAAAAAGAGGGAACCCATTCTGTGGGGAATTATGGCACACTGCCTCATCCCAGAGATGATGGTGCTCCGATACCCGCCCAAAACAAAAAAATTCAAAGAAAAAGTCGATGTAAGTGATCGATGCGCACTTCGCTATCCCAATGCATGGTTTGCTCCTTTTCGCAGGAGGCAATGCGGCCACCATGTTGGTGACCTATATATCAAGTTTCGAGTGCGTGCGGTGCGAAAACTGGAGAGGTGTCGAGGGAGTGTCCTGGCCCAGGTGCTCATCCTGAAACGAGGCGCGCCGCATACTGATGACGGGTATAGGAGGCAGTGTTATGCCGTGGCACCAACCCCTATCCGAGCCGAGTCGCCCGATTATATCATTGAACTGAGCTGCCGAGCGTCTTGAATCGGTCTTCGAACGCCTTCATTCTCTCCTTTTCCAACTCTTGCTGGATACGTCTCGTCTCACGTCGCGCGGCTTCGCGCTCCTCCTGCAGCGTCAAAACCTCGATTTGAGCAGTACTCATGCGGGCAATGACATCTTGCATCTCCGAGTCGGCAACCGTAAGTGCTGTCTCCAGCTCAACGACCTTAACCCGCAGTCTCTCGATCTGCGTCTCGTCTTCGACGGACTGCTTCGGCATGAGACGGGGCGATCGCGGGAACATTGGCGATGGCATCGGGCTGAGACTCGACTTGCGAGGAGAGCGCATGCCGCTGGCACCGGGCGAAGGGCTCATACGGCGCAGCTGAATGCTTTGTGCGTCCTTCAGCTCCTTCAATTGCTCCTCGTGCCGAGCCACGCGCTCCTCGGATGAGATCTGAGCAGCTTGCAGTTGCTCCTCCAGATTCTTGAGGCGACTTTGCAGGCGTGTGATGCGGTCGGCGTTAGCCTTGCGGTCGGCATCGCCACGAGCAACGGCTTCCGCGAGGCGCTGGCGGAGCTCAGAGTTCACGGACAGCTGGTTCTGAACTTGGGAGGCGAGTTCCTCAACGCGCTGAGCAGACGTACGGAGCTCATCAGCAAGAGCGCGCTCGCTCTCAAGGTGTGCCACCTCGCTGCCCGCCAAGCTCTCCAGTTGATCCTTGTAAGCCGAGGCTTCTTCCTTCGCCGCATCGCGCTCGAAGACGGCGGACGTCAGGGATGCCTCTAGCCTCTCGAGAGCCA